TCAGCCATTATAGAAAAAAATCACCCTGGTGAGGATGGTATCTTTCACGAAGCGGTTGTGAGAACCTATAGTTGAACTCACACCTACCCGCCCAGTATTGAACACTCAAGGATATTGGATATCTTGAAACTATTATGTTATGTGAATCAGCTGGTTCCAAAACCCAACTACTCCATTTATTGTGAAAAATAATTTAGATGCGGCAATGGATTCCTGTTATAGTCCTCTACGTAGTGATATCAAAACTACACTGCAAACCCCACTGAATTTTATTTGCATCTGAAATATTCATATATTCAAAGACCGACAATTTCGAATCAGCCAATCACAGTTATCTCTGGATGTCATACGGGACTGTGATGTACATGCACGTCTGTAAATTAAGCCATTTGATTTCGGAACATGTTGTAGTGTGCAGTATTCTGGTTTTTGTGTCCCTATTATAACCAAAAACTACAAAATATTGTGTACTTTTGAAAAATGGCTGAGTGCAGTGAAGATTTTCCAAAAGCTGTAACGCCCGAATCAGCTCGCAAACTGAAAGACCTGAGAGCTTCACAAGAGAAGCACTGGGGTGAAATTGGACAGAAATAAAAATTATGAAATATTTGATGAAGATGTTTGAGTTTACGATGTTTCAAATGAGAGAACTCCCGAGCCCGACATCAGTGAGAATGTGTTCTGTGGATGAGTTGGATCTATTCCTGACTTGGTGGTATGGAAAAATAGAAATATTATTGTACCTACCTGCTGATGTCATTTTTTCTTCATAATATCAGATACTTTCGAAATTATTCAGGATTAAATCTCCACAAATCCAAACGTGTGAGTAGCAAAACCCGAGAAATTCATAAGTGTGGAAATCGAAACTAGATAAATCAATTCTGTTCATTTATATTTTGCCTATATACAACGTTGTTTGCTTAGTCCCTGGAAAGGGGGCACTGAAAACAATGGTTATTTATGTGAATAATGAAACTCAGAGGGTGGGTGTAAAAGTACAATATTTCTTTATTGTTGGTTGAGGTTGGTTCACTTCAATGGTGGTAAATGGTGGTTGATTCCGATGAATTCAAGCAGTGATTAATGATCAGCAAGTGATGACTATTGCAGATGAAACCATGATAACACAATACAGATGCAAGTTGCCTTGTAAACTTACCAGCTTTCCCTCTGGTATCGATACCAGAAGTTGACAGGTCGATCGCTAGGTATACTATACTTAAACTATGCTAATACTTGGTAAGGTCAATGCATAATATCCTGAATTAGTGCAAATGGAAAAAGAGGACATGATACAGCTCACTTAGAAGGATTTTTATAGGTGACAGTGGCAGCTTGGAGCAGGAATGTCCCACAGCAAGTAAGACAGGTAAGTGCTGGATAAGCAGTCTGGCCTGCTCAAGTCAGCTTCTGATCCACAGGTCGAAACGTGGTTGGCTACTCTCTGTTCTGAAACTACAACTGACATACTAGGCAGAAGGTATATGCAGGCTCGTGTACGCAGGGAACCATGCAGAAAGCAAAAGCAAAGCAGGCAATAATATAAGCATCTGTGGTTATAGCAGCAAGTACACTTATTGACTACTAGAAATGGTTTTTTGGCCCTGCAAGTAATGATGCTACTATGTAGAAATTTATAGAATGAGCTGCAGAAATGCTTGATTCAACCCATACCTTGTTTTAAGGTGGCCAGATGTATGAACTACAGCGAGTTGTGAAAATGATATCTGATAATCAAATTCTGACTAGGAATTTTAGGAAGTAGGCAGTGGACCATACTTTGACTCCTTATATTTCCTAGTAAGTTTCGATTATACAATTTGAATCCGCAATAATGCGATGGCACGTTTCAATACCTTGATAGGTTATCAGAAAGAGCCCTGTCAAATATCACTATTTTCGCGGTACTTTCCCACAATCCCGCCAAAATGACACCCTTGTCAGGTTATACAGTTTCAGGTTACTAGGTTGAGTTTGAAGTTATCTTATTTGTAGGTTGAGGACTAACTAGATATTCTAGATGGAGCAGAAGAAGTCCCAGAGTCCAGATTGGTGATAACCTTCACTAATATAGTAAGGTTAATGGTTGATCAATGTCATTATTTTTCCACTACCCGATTTTTCTACAAGCTAAGATCATTATATTGCCAATGTTGTTGATATAATTCAACAATATATATGTATTTCCTAGATTCGGACCAGAGGAAGCCCACAGTAGAGATCGGACCGAGGATATCGAAGTTGACATGGGTAAGTAACAATGGGGAAATGATTTCTTTTATTAATGGTTTCTCATTATTATTCAGGTATGCTGGATCTATGCAGCTTTCAAAAGAAGATGGAATATCAAGCATGATACCTAAAGGATCTGTATAACGATTGAATAAAGGATTCTGCTCCTAGTCTGTGCACATACTTACATTATATCGAAGTGAATTATATAATATATTTCTGGAACAATTATCTACAATTTTCCATCAATACATATATCATTCAGATGCCTGCAATAAAGTTATATATTCAAATTATGGTAATCAATTCTGATAGTTTTCTCAATTTTCCACAATTTGACAACAATGAATCCGTCGGTTTTGAATCTTGACGGTTCATGTGTTTCGTCTACGAATTTTCGGAGATTCCTACAAAATATGCGGTTTCAGAATGTATCTGTAAAATCAAGAGAAATGCAACTGGTATTAACTAAACATAGAATTGATCAAGCTATGTTACCTGCATATTGTGCTCATATTGTAAACTGTTTGCTGGAAAATGTTTTTTCATCATCTTGGAAAGAGGCAGTTGTTCGAGTTCTTGCAGAAAAAAATAAATCCTGTAGAATATAAAGACATTACATTACCTACAATCTCAAAAATCACGGAACGTGTCATTCGAAATCAGATTTCAGAGTTTTTGTGTGAACAGAACTTGCTACCGCCAGGGCAGTCAGGATTAAGGAAAGGATTCAGTTACACTACTGGAGGACTATTTGAGAAATACATGAGAGCAAGTTTGCATCGATGGTACCTACTCATCCGGAAAAAATGTGACTCAAATCAGGTGTTCCTCAGAAATCTACCTTGAGACTTTTACTATTTAGTGTCTACACATTCAATCTCATGAAAAGTCTCCAACAATGCAATATACACCTGTATGCTGACGACACGAAGATATATTATAGCTTGTCGTCACTCATGTATGAGAATGCTAGTCTGGTAATCCACAATGACCTGAATTCATTTATCAAAGCTGCAACTGATCATTGTCTTATCGTCAACTCTGATGAATTCAACGTCATTTCCTTCGGTCCTTGAAATATGAGAAGCATGTTGAATAGCAACATCGCTATTATTGTGATGGGTTCTAGGCTTGATACTGTGGATGTTGCAAAGAATCTAGGCGTGCTTCTGGATTTTAATTTGTGGTTTGAGCATTGACTTATTCAACTTACGCTTTCATCAAGCTGATATATTGAAACAGGCCTATCTATCCTCAAAATTAAAAATATTTCTTGGGGCTTTCACACTCCAACTTATGCTTATACTCTGTATCATCCTCATTCAACATATATAAGCGTGAAATTCAGACAGTACAAAATCCTGGTGTTTAGCTGATATATCCTATCAGAAGAGAGGATATCACACGCATTCAAACGTTCTGGTTGGCTGAATATGGAGAACAGGAGAATTTTACACGCTAACGTTTGAATTGTTTCATGTAAAACGCCATCATACTTATTCAGGAAACTAACATACCGTACTAATATTCCTAATTTGAATATTAGATTCGACGACGCAGCCCATTACCGAATTCTTCAAGAGATCATTCATATTCCACATTTGAAAAACTATAACTTCATTTCCGAGGCAATCAGATTATCAAGAACCTCCAGATCCAAGATGAAACTTGAGACATTTTTGTTGAATTACCATCAATGATTATCGAGCAGTATTAATCTCTATCCCTATTTCGTCTTTCACCTATGCATGCATTATGTTTTTATTATTCTTAAATTTTTTCCTCGTCTTTCTCTTTGCTCGCTCACAGAGATTTTTGCAGGTTGAGTGGAAGTACATCGGATAGAGCTTATGGATTATGGATTGATTGAATAATAAATTATTGCTAGATAATTTCATCAGGAATTCACCATCTTCATTTTCATCATATTTCATCTTTCATGGTAAATACGGCATCGTTCACCATTGCATGAAGAAAATTATGATTAACCTCATTATCGCGACACTCGAATAATTTTCGAATATAAATTAATATAATGATAAAATGATTCAAGTTATCTTCGGAACCGTTGATTTCATAACGAACTAGGAAAGTAGTTGTTTCATGTTACACATCGAATCCATGCGCTGGTATAGACTCAGTAGAATACTTGTTTATCCACATCGACATATTATATAGATTTGGATGAAAACAGTTGTCTACAATTCAAATTTTGTCGAAATCTCCTGAACTCCCAGTGTAAAACATCACCTAGTGGTGAATGAATATTTTAATGATTATCATTATTTTCATAGAAAATTACGCAGTGAAGTCAGCTGAAGTTAGTTAGTTAAAATTGTTGAGTAATCTATTGAATTCTATAGTCATAGGACCTGCGTTCTCTGTGAGGATTGGCCAACGCGCTCAAGTCCAAAACAGGAATGAATCTTCAGGAATACAAAGAATATTCTTGGTTTTAGTCATCCTTTATAGCTGCCTTGAGGCTCGTGGATCATTTAGGTAAAGATGTCTCATTGAATTGACGAGTTGGGTCGTTGATGAGTTGGCTGGATGCATTGGTTCGTCAATGGGTTTTTTATGAGTTGATCTAATGTTGAGTATAGTAGCAGATGATATAAATAGCTGATCAATTGAATCTTGTTGAAATTTCATTGATATTATTGAATTACACGTTTCGAATACATGTTTGTTGAAATTTTTGTCATAATTTATCATGCTATCTCATTATTACTATAATCACAATTTTGATATTGAACTTCCAGGATGGAAATGGTGGAATCTGGTTGATAGATCTAAATACAGAAGTTGAACCAAAACCATCGAGACAACTCTACAAATGTCACGCTGGTGAAGTTGTAGATATTGCTACCCATCCCTCTGGGCCATATTTGGTTAGCCTAGGAAAAGACGGACGAATCTATGTATATAATTATCTACACAAGATACTGATATTCCATCATGAATTTCCAGCTGGAGGAAGATGTTTGATTTGGCTTGAGTCAGATGTAAGTCAAAGATCTATCAGTTGTTTATTCATAAATTAAGACAATCAATATTTCAGATCATCAAGACAGCAGATATCATGATAGCCGGCTTCGATGATGGACAAATAAGAGTGTGTTGCTTACTTAATCTTGATAGCGAAACGAATATATCTCTAACTATAACCCAGGTGAGATATTTTCATAGAAATTTCTAGCTAAGTAAAAATTTGATTCCTTCTTCATAACTTTATTTCTCTCCTCCAAACTTTTCTCGATACAAATTGTTACTGACAAGCTAGTGCATTTTTCTTTCAGGCTCTCTGAACATTCTTTGAACGCAGTGACATTTTGCGGCAAATCATCTGATTCATCCTTACTACACGTATATTGAAATAGTATTCATATTTTCATTATATAGAAACGAGGAGAGAAAATTCCAAAAAATCTGGAATAATGAATGTACCACTTCCTCGATTAACCTATATACAGTATATCTGTCCCATTGTGCAGTGTTTTTTATATCGCCTCTCATGATATTTTCATCACCATATGAGATTGCGAAGTAATCATACTGACGAAGAAACCTATAACTCGGCTATTTAGTCTTCAATTCTGTAAGTTATGGTTACATTTTGAGTCATGATACGATCGCAACAAAGGAACTTGACGGAGTCAACAATCTGGTTTATCCAAACCACATGTCATTATTCCATGATAGGTATTTACGTACCCATCCACAAGATCATATGTTTGCATCATTGTCATATTTGTGTCGCACCTCGTCTGAATATTCTCAAGAGTTTGTATCAATTCCAGTAGAAACTATATTCCTGAGGCAGATTCGCTGACTACTACTTCTCTAATTGTGCATGAAAAATCATATCTCCATTAAGTTGATCCAGATTAGGAAAATTTCGAGACTATTTCGAAACCAGACAATAAGCTTCATGTTCATGGTATGAAATTTCATAATTTCATTGATGGTATTGAGAGACCCTTGTTTCATCTGGAGAGAGATATGATTTTCTATATAGAATCTCACAATGATTTTCATATCATCCTGTATCTCATATCCTGACATTCTCACATTATCCAGAACTATCCACACAATGCGAATTCACAAGAACAATATGAAAATTCAATGTAATTCAGTTTGTCTTTGATAAAATGCATCGATCATCTTGGAAAAAAATGTGTATGTCCGACATAAAGAGTCTGATTAAAAAAAAAATCGAAATAGTCGAGTTTCATGAGTGTGGTCAAAAAAACAATTATAATGAATATTTGCTGAAACGGAAACGTAAAACGACACCACTGCTATACTATACACTACTCCAACTATCCGATTATCGAGAATCTGAATCCTGTCGGGAATCTGAATCCTGTTTAGCTCTACTAAGACCGGTGAATAACCCAGACAGCACCAGATATTCCATGAATATTCATAGAATATTCTTTTTGGATATTGCGAATATTCATGAACATGCCAGGAATATACATATCATCTATGGAATATTCCCTGAATGTGCTGGTGGGGAAAATTTTATATATTCCCGGAATATTACACAAGGAATATTCCCTATATATTCAGAATGTACCTATAATATTCTAGGAATATTCAGATAATATTCGGAATATTCCAGGATTAATACAGGAATATGAATAAATGAATATTCCGGGAATATTCCTCAATGCATATTCATAATTCAACAAAAGCTGACCCAAGATGGGCTCGAGCTCGGGACTTTCAGACTGTCAGATCAACGCCTTAACCACTAGGCCAGTAATCGAGTTGAATAATACTGTACATAACAATTAATTGAATTGCGTTGTTCAGAATCGGATCATAAACACTTCCAGTTCCATATGGGCTCGACTTTGTGTTTTTGATCCCTGGTGATATAACCACTTTACTTCGAAATACGATGGACTTCTACCACAGATTTCAAAATCAATGACTCACATTTATAAAATAGTGATTGGTTAATTTCCATACTTTACAATTTCATTGAAACACATAGGAATAATATTGGAATATTCCATGAATATACAGGAATAGAATATTCAGATGGAAATATTCCGAAACAATTCTTGGAATATTCATACCTGAATATTCCCTGCACTATCCAACTGGAATATTCTAGGAATATTCACTTCAGCATATTTCTCCTGGAATATTCCTTGAATATTCATTTTGGAATATTACTAGAATAGTCACATTTGAATATTCTTCGAATGTTCCAGAGGCACGTATATATTCTAAGAATATTCGAAGGATATTCGGAATATATTCTTCTCTTTTAGCATATTTAGAGAATATTCTAGGAATATCCAGTGCTGTCTGGGAAGTTGATGGCAACCTGTAACTTGAAACTATATTAGCTACCAATAATGGAATATGCGAACATACATTTGCTATCGTACCTGCTTTGGATGATGGGATAGTCTGCATTCCAGAATTCAAAACAAACACAACCGGACATGCGCACGGTCATTTACAACCTCAAAATGGCGTCCCGGCAGTTGTTACCCTCGTTCAGACTCTTGAGCTTGGTCTAGCTTTCCCTTCGTGATGGCAGAAAACAACAATAATCATACGTCCATCTTTGTACTTATGATAGACGTTTACCTCACGTTAATGAACAAAAATAATTATTGAAATGCTTATTGATAGATTTTTAGTTTGGACACATCTTTTTTCACTTATTATGGATGTCCATTTTGCCTTCATGAATGATTCAACTTAGAATGGCCGTTTAATAAATATTCAATGAGGGTGCAATTTGTATCATTCAATGTACGTCTCGCTTTGTTCGTACGAAGGATGTCGATTGATCGTCCATACGTTCAATGAATCATCATTCTCAGTTTGAATGGTTGGACGTTGAATGGACGTCCACTGGCCATTCCCCCGAAACATCCAATGATCATTCATGTTTCCATGTACATTGGCTGTCCATTCAATGTCCATGGATCTGAAATGGACGTCAAATGAATTTCATGTGCTGTGTGGGCGACGATACGACCAAGCTAACCATTGCCATAGAAGTTAGAGCTACCTAACACCACAGCCTAAACGGCCGATTCGGTCGACCTCCCCTTTCTGTAAAATTGTTGGTTCTTGTGGAAGTGCTCGCCGTCAGGGGCTCCTCTAACAGGAACCTGTCCGTCACCCTCTCTAGCGATTTGATAAAAAAGTATATCAGACTGATTGGTGAGGAAAACTTTGCTACTTTGTAGTTGTTTTTTTTCCTCAATTATGTTATGACGACTATCCTTGCTGATTTTCAGTCGGCGGGAAGAATTCCAAAGCTAGGCTAGCCCGGAAATTCTTTCCAATATCGAGATAATGAGTTCTAGGTACCTCAGAAAAAAACCGTCAGGTCCTGCTGCCTCATATGAGTTGGACTCATTCACCGCCAAGTTATGGTGATGACAGTGATGACTTTGTTGGCCAGTTCCCAGTTCTCCTGGAATACCAGGTATGGTGGTGGAGCTAGCTGTATAACGTCTGCGCCACCAAGAAAGCATACCTCCAACAGATGTCTCAAATTTTGTCCAAGTGCCATCTGCTCTCTCACTATCGTTTTGCTACCTTTTACCTCGTTGCTTAGAATACTGATGAGTCTGGCTAATTCCGTAAGACAATCAATTGCTTCACAATAGGTTCTTCAGCTTATTCTATTACTCTTTCTGGACGTCTATCTGAAATCCCTTCTCGTGGCTTTCTAGTCATCCAATGCACCTTCGTCGCCTGCCTCATTCGCTCTGTTCTTTCGAACGGATCCCAATATGGTTCTCTCGCGTGCATTGAGAGAACTGCCGAGAAGATCTCCCAGTTGGCCACTCTAGAGTTTCGGCGTAGAAAAGCACTTATGCTAAACCTCATCAGTCGGTTCTCTGAAATTGAAATGTATTTCGATACCCTTCAGTCCGCTATACTACTTTGTATACTTACCTCGGAAACGTGAGGTAAATCACTTCTAATCGAATGCATTTGACATTATGTTGGCTCACTTTCATTCAGGAGCTCCAAATCAGAAGTCTCTGGATATTCGAGTAGAGCTTCGCCAAGCGCATTTATATATGGAATTTTTCACGAAATATTGCATTCTGATATGTACAACCACTATAGACTCAACGTCAACAGAATTTGAGAATTGCATGTCTCCAATGCCATCACTGTTCAATGTGTTATACATTTTTAAATATACTGAATGTAGGAATGTATTGAAATAACACAACAGGATTGCAGATAATATTTGAAAAATTGCAGTAATATCGACATGGGGCGGTATCATGATGAATCGTCGTTCCACGTTGGTTATATTGAGAGAGAATATATGGATGCCCTTTGATAACAAGATATGTATTGTGTTCGGGAAGTTTTCGTTTGAGTTGCTAAAATTTTTGGTTCAATTTCATACTGGTCGATGATAAAAAAATATCTGCTCAGTAAACTTTAATTCCATATCTATTAATCATTCACAATTTGATTACTTGAAAAACAATAATTGTGCAATTATTATTGTCTCGATTTTTTATGTTATAGGTATGGTTTGTTGTATATATCCCTATTATAAACAATAATGTTTCTTGGGGTAATAAAGACAATCAATCAATAACGAACTACCACATCGTGCGAGAATAATCACTGGAGTTCTGATACAATATAATATTGTTTACCTCTTCTCCTCATCCTTCCTAGGTACGCACGATGCTCCTCCAACATAATATAGGGATTTCCTTCAGTGCGCTTCAAGAAATAGAAAGAAAACTATCTCCAGACATAGATTTGATGAAACATGTATAGAGGAGGAGAGGTGAAATGATGAATCATGACCAAGATTGCATGCACCTATGATAACCAGTATGCCAAAAAAATTAGTTGCAATATCATATTGACCATCAACAATAACAACTGAAGTTGTTTGTAGTTAATGTAAGTTGTGTTTGTATAACAATGTGGATTCCGAATGTGAATTGGAAATATCAAGTTGATAATCATCTACATTTTTTTGTACTATTTTCGTATATTCTCACATTTCCTACCGAGTGTCAACGTATTCATTGGATAAGCCATAGTTTCCAAAGGTACGAAGCATATGAACCCTTGAGCATATAAAGATATGATAATTCCTAACCACTTATGGTATAAAATACAGGGTGTCCAATTCGAAAATTGAAA